TTTACTGTTATAAATGCGTGAAAATTGTATTTAACCTATGTCTCTGATTTATAAAATTAGGGTTATTTGTTTTTAGTGGAACTTTAAGGGCGGTTTAAAATTTAAACATAGCTGCATTTACTCCATGTTCTAAATTGAATAGTTTTTTGTGAAAAATTTGGTCGCTACTAGGTAGCCTCCATACTTGTTTCGCTTTTTTAATTGTTGAAAAGACCAGACACTAAAGGTCACAACAATACAATTTTAATAAATCGTGATCGCTTGACTTAATCATTGAAATGAACTAAGTGTTTAAACATAAAATCAGTTTAATACTTTTAACGATTGTTTCAGAAAATATGAAATGACTGTATCAAATGGTTACTTCTATGTGTAGCAATTACTATGTTGATGTACTGGTGAAAACCTCTGAAAGACAAAAAGAATGAATACCTGGATTGCTTTTTATACTGACAGTATTGCATCAACATCTCTAGTTTTCCTTTGGACCCAACGATTTTCATCATACTGCAATTTCAGCGAAAGAGACTGCAAACAAGTATGTTAATCAATTGAGTTAGAATTGTAAGCCGATTGATTCTGATCGAAGTTTAATGGTCTGATGCTTGCCAATAGACCTGATGATCGTGGGTTCGTTTCCATATCGAGCTGTGCGTACGCACTAGAGTTTAGATGTAAAACAAAAAGCTCCCTTGTTCCTCATGGTTTTAGATTGTATTTCAGTTGATATCGGTTCACAATGAAAACTGATTTACCATCTAGCAGTATTAACAAACTTCTACCTTAATCATAAAATTATCGGCACTATTATAACCGTTATAATATAGTCCATTACCTAACTTCTAAACACAACAACTTCAGACTATTTGACAATAATTAATCACTCTAAAACCTCTGACCTACCTTTTATCAAACTATAAAACTTGAAAGTAAAGCTTTATGATACGGTGTATTTTGAGTAACCGGAAAATTTGGAGACTAAATTCAAAGTTTGTAACAGTATACAATTCAAATCAGGCAGAAAAAAAATATTTACAGACTGATAGATAAACTAAGAGTACATTCTCCAAGGATTATGCTGGACGTTTAAATCCACGTAAAATAACGCTGATACACCATTGTTGAACCTCTGCATAATTATTATTCAAGGAAACAGATTGGATTACTATGAAATTAATCATTTTGAATAAATAGATCGTCTAATTGCGTTCGACGTGCCCCCAAATGCCCCGGTATGGTCGAGAGTGGGGTTGGTTCGCCCTCCCTCTCGAAATGCTCCCACACGGCCGCGCGTATACAGCCTCTGCCAGGGAAGTCCTACTCACTGCCTTCTCGTGGCGGGGGTGTTGTTTACGAAAATGAGGGGACGAGAAGCGAATGTCCGGCGCTATAACCGGATCCCAAATCAATGGTGCACATGGGCTCCAGTATCCTGAAGGAACAAATGGCGTACGAACCAATTTCTTGGTCACCGGCTTCCATGGGACGGCATCTCCTCACGATGGTCCACTGCCTTGTCGGTTAGACCTTTAGGTCGAAGGCTCGGGGTGTGGCCCCCTAATAAAACCACCTGCTTCGGTCTGGGCACCCGGGCAGTATAGCAGCCCACACACAAATATAATGAAAATGATTATATTCTCTGAAAACTCTGTGTGGCGCATATATATTTGGTGCCCCCCTGTACCAATATCTATGTTTACAAATAAATAATACTAGTTGCGTTCGACGCGCAACAATCATCAGGAATCAAAATCGACCATTTAAACAAAAAATCACCTTATATAAATCTTTGCAAAGTGACATATTTTATGCTTATTTAGGCGTTTAAAGTAACTAAGTTTCCTGCCTATTTCTCATCACTCATATAACGTGTTACGTTATGCATCAATAATCCTTCAAAGTTAAAACTAACCAGTTTTTGTTGGAGAAGACATTATAATGATTCGGGTGAGACTATAATTTATGGACGACCTTTGAGCGACACTGAGGTGACCTTGAGAGTAGAAAACTACTAATTAGGACTAAATTAGGGTTATAAAGCAGTCAGAATTCTCATTTACAGTTGATGGTTAGGGTTAAAAATTAGATTTAGGGTTTTCATCACGAAATGACATCAGCTATAATGCCAAAACTATTTAGACAAGCGTATGAATGAATTTCGCGCCCAAATTCGTGACTCCTTATCTTATATCTGATTGGTTCATCCGTAAATTATAGTCTCGCCATGATTTGTTTGTGTAATGAGAAATTTTACTATATCAGTTAAATGTTAAAACTTTTTATGGTAAAAAAAAAACGCAACTTAAAATGTTTTAGTTGTTAGATTATTTGAAATCACCTATGTAACGATTTGATTGTTTAACTAGTTACCTGAGTACTAGTTAGCTTCGCTGAGACTTGGCTCCACTACGAGTAGTGCTTCCAGGTTTTCCATGGTGGTCTAGCTTCAAATGACTCATGATCTCAACTATTGAAATCACTACAACCACAAAACCCCTTCTGATACTAATAAATTTAGTATTTATTTATATAATACACTGTCTCAAAAATCTGTACAGGGAATTTCAATGAGTATAATAAAATAAATTGATGTAGAGTGAAGCTATTGTAAATAGAACTTATAAAAGTAATGGAAAATTTTTGCATACCTTATAGTGTGATCAGTGAGTTTCATCATGAAAAATATCATTATCACTAACTTAAGTGAACGTTCATGCAATAAATGAATCTTAAATAGTATTCTAATCATGTTTATTTTTGTTTGATATTTTGTACATAAGCAAGTCACTGGATTAGATGAAATACAATTTTGTTGAATAGCTATTTTGTCTTCTGAAGTCTATTTTATCTGGAGGCTTGGTTTGATAAATTGGTCTTACTAGCAGTTAGCACTTTATTGAATCGCATTATTACACATTATCGATCGATCAAATTTATGTAAACATTAATCCAATACTCTCCAAACGATTTTCATAACAAATCTTAGAAATCTTATTCACCAATCACTTGGGTAAAAGACTTGGTAGCTCAACACATTATACTTTTTATGAGATTATTAGTGAGTACTGATAAAATTTTGTGCTTATCGATGCAGGTAAAACAGTTGGTCAACACCTTTTAATGACTAATTAATCTATTCATCCCAGTTTTTGAATAAAAAACGAAATCCGAATTGATCAGCAACATATTGAACATTCGAGTGGTCCAATTTAGATTTCAACACATACAAATCATTAGTTGAGATCTTTCCAACAACAATCTCCATCTGACTACTGTCCATATATCTAATGATAGTATTATGAAAGTAGTTTCCTACTTCTGATAATAATTTGTTAGTATTTAGCATTTAGTGCTATAACCAAGCAATTAAATTTTAATCTTTCATGGGGTATCGTGAATAAAAATGAGTTAAACAATTAGATTTATGAATATTTTTGGTAATATTTTTAAAATTTTGCTATGTCTAAACCATTATGACATTCTATCGGGTCACTTGATAAATAAATGACCGAAACGTTGGTTCTTAGTTAGAGAAAACGACCGGATCTGTTACTGCAATAGAGTTCAATCGCTCACACACAAAGATATATTAACCGTCTTAACGTATTTAATAAATGACTCTACATTTACCACAAGACTATGCGTCATGGAAGTTAATAGAAATTCTGGGGCATTTAAGATATCCAATAACTCAAACGGTAATGATTAGTAATATTTTTTAATTTTTTATCACCATGAAAATTCCTACTTAATTCATTTTATCTTATTTGCCAAAAATTGTCAAGTTATTTATCAATGATTTTGACTACGTGGTTCTGACACAATTCGCTTCTCCCTAAATTATTGCGAAGGATTATAATTAATAAACTCATCTATAAAGATTGTTAATGTTTTCATTAGTCAAACTAGATATCTCACAGCTCAATGAACATTATTTATCGATAAATGAAATACAACCCATCATATCTGTACAGAACACTAATTAGAACATTAATTGTAGTAATGTAGAAACTCTGTGACATTAGAACTTAATAATTATAAATAAATTTAAAAATGTATGTTGATTCATTTGAAATTGTTATTAAAATAAACATTCAATCTAAACACTGCTTTGGAAATTATTGGAAACAATCATTCTTTAAATTAAAGCAAATGGGTCCGTGTTTATTAGTTTCTGTAAGTCCATAACAAGTGTTGTCTGTTAAATATCATTTGGTGCAACGTGTTATTGGTAAAGTCGATGTATTGGAGGACATTTTTCGTCAGCGTATATATATATATATATATATATATATATATATATATATATACTTACGCCTGTTACCCATCGAGGAGGAGGATAGACTGTCCACCAGTACTCTCTATCGAACTCTGTCCTGGGCGATTATTTCCAGTTGTTTCCATCTACTGCTCCTCCTCTTAATGTCTGCTCCCAATTCCCGACTCAATGTGTTCTTTGGCCTTCCTCTTTTCCGTTTCCCTTCAGGATTCCAAGTTAGTGCTTGCCTCGTGATGAAGTCTTGATGATTTCGCAATGTGTGACCTATCCACTTCTAACGTCTTTTCCGAATTTCCTCTTGAGTTAGAAGCTGGTTTGTCCCCCCATAATAATCTGTTGCTGATGGCATCCGACCGACGGACACTAAGTATCTTGCGCAGACAATTGTTTATAAATACTTGTACTGTTTTGACGATGATCGTGGTAGTTCTCGAAGTTCCAAATCTGTACAGTAGGACTGTCTTGACGTTCGTATTGAAGATTTTCACATTGATATTGGTTGAATATATATATATATATATATATATATATATATATATATATATATATATATTATAGATGAACAGAGCAATGGAAATTTTGAACTTTTTGTTTGTGAATTACTTTTATTCACTTCAAATTACTTTCCATAATATAGCGTGTAGTAGTAGATCATCGTTAGGATCTAAGTGAACATATCATATACAACAAGTATCACTTCACACCAAATATCAGAAAAAGACCAACGTATCTGAAAAAAATGCACACTATTAATAAGCCACTGTAAATGTTACATGTATTACCTGTCAATATATCCATGTAATATTAATTTTATAAATAAAAAATAGCAAATAATGTATACGTTAATGTAATTTAACTGCAAAATGAACACAATTACTAACAATGATCGTTTATATTCAATACCTTATTCAATCTTTATTGAAGATACTAAGAAATGTTAATTGAATGTAAACCATATTAACTTGATTCTTTACTTATTCTTATGTTAAATATCTTTTAGTTAAGAATAAAAATTTCATATTGTTTAATACTACTCATTAGTAAGCTGAGTTAGTATTCGTATTGATTTTAGAAAACAAAAACAAACTATATTAAAGTGAATAGAGACTCAACTTACATGCAAAATAATGAATAATTAACGAATTCTTGTTAATTAACCTTAACATACGAATGAATATATATATACAAATTAACATAAACATACAGAGAATATTCACACCATAAATATTTATATTTCCATAAAAAGTTTATATATAGATAATCAAAATTGAGAAAAATAGAGTTACAAAAAACAAAGAAAAAAAAAGTTTATTACATGTTTTTAACAAATTGAAAAATTGACAAAATAACAACACACATACAAAGAAACAAGTTGATTATAATTGTGCATTGATTATTGTTGTAGATGTGACTAAGGAATTATCTGCTGTTGTATTCTCAGTTGTGGATTGTAATAATTCGGTAGTTTCATCTGAAAGTTCGACAAAAATGTACAAGATATACTCATTAGTCTAAACAGTTAAAGAGTATAATATTGACGTAAATATTAAAAGTTCAACCATTCTATAAATAGTATTGTGGTTTGGGGCTTATGTACTTACTTACTTATTTACGCCTGTCGCTCCTCGTGAAGGAGTATAGGCTGCCAACCAGCATTCTCCATCCAACTTTGTCCTGGGCAAGGGGATTATTTACCTATCCAATTATAACTGTCTATTATCATAGTTTCAGAAGCAGAACATTAAACTAGTAAAGTACAGACATTTGGTTTGAATTAGGCTTAAATTTAAGCTATCGGATTTCTGTAAATAAAATCACTACGGACATATCATTCCTATTGAAACATTAAAAACACGAAATTCAGCAAAGCGATCTCTTCTCAACAAATTTATTATCAAGCTGTACAATCGTATGTACATATGTGAAAATTCTTTAAAGTATTAGTACCGTGAGAGCATATGAACAAAGAATAAACATAATATAATTATAACCTTTCTATTACATTATTATGTTTATTCTATTTTCGTATGTTGTCACGATACTACTACGTAAAAGAAAATTTCACTTATGTATATACGATTGAACAGCTTTTTTATATCAATAAATTCCGTATTGGATACTAAAATAAATAACTTTCTGATTAGATACTTACGTGCCTCTTCAGTTGTTACATTTTGCTCATTCTCAGTATGTTCTATAGTTTTTACTTCTTCAGATGAATTATGATTAATTTGTTTATCAGACATTGATTCTTCATTTGAATTGATACATTCAGTCTGAAAAGTAAATCATCAAAAAATCAATACAAATTACTGTTCTCTTATAAAACAATAATTCATTTTAATAGTTGAATTCATCAGTTAATTGAAGCTAGATCATCATGAAAAATCTGAAATCATTGGATGGTCGTTTTGTCCTAGTATGGGACTCTTTAGCATTTCTCATCCACAATCGCGCACTACCGAGGAGTCCCGTACTAAAACAAGACGGACGTCTAGTGCTTTAAGTTTTTCCATGATGGTCCAGCTTCAATTGACTCCTGAATTCAACTATAAAATTGCTAAAATCTCCACAAAACCCTCTTCTGATAATCCATTTTATCGTACTATGTTATATTCTTTATAGCTAAAAGAAAGGACATATTTAGCGTAAATAGGTTGCTTAGAAATTATACCATGCACAAACTAAAATACAGTTCTTAATATTTAAGTGTCTAATATCCAATGTTATTTTCAGTCATGTATATTAACAGAAATTATAAGATAAATAAATGTAAATAGTAGAAAGTGAGAGCAATAATCTAATTACAAATTAGATTAAATATTTGGTGAAATACTACATAGTGACTACAGATAAAGTGACATGCACTCTGTAAACAATAACAAATTGGGAGCTAAGTGCTAAATTAATTAATGATTATGATATCTGAATTTAACTAATTTTAAGTTATGAAAATAAAAAAAGATAAAGGTTGTATGTACATTGGTGAAATCAACTTATTTTATAATATAGATGACTACTAACTTATTGCGCCTGTGGTTGATAAAAGGTAAGATAATAGGTTGAACATACTTCCTTAGTACACATCAATCTGGTTTTTTTAATAAGGATAACTATGAATTCTACCGTTTGGAAAATTAGGATTTACAAAGTTACTAACCAGATAGACTATTGAGAATGATGTATGTTGGCAGTATGATTACTTTGAATAAATTGAACTAATATCGAGGTGTTTACTGTTTTAACAATACCTAAGTCAACCTGGAAGGATTTCAAATGAACAGAAATGTAAGTCCCTAGGACTTCGACCAAATTAAAAGTATTCACATGCTACAATTATAAATAATCTGTTTGCCTTAAACTTTCCTATTCTTATGGATTAGTAATTCGGATAGTATAACTGAACAACCTGAAGAAAATTTATTGAAAGAACATCCTTCATTCATATATCAATGTTTAAAAATAATGGGAATTTTTAAATAGTTCTAATTAAACTGATTACCTTATATTCCATAACGGGCTTTTCCTTTTTAAAAGAGTGATGCTGTAAGATTTATTTGAAGAAAAAAAACAACAGTAGAATATAGTAAATTAAAAAGTTATATACTGTCAATAAAGAATTAATCACTGAGCTTAAGAAGCAACTAAACTAAGAATAGTATGATCGTTGTGAACTAAATGATTACTAATTCTTATGCTGTCGCCAATGAATACGATATTTAAGTTCAACATATGTTTTTAGTTACATTTAGTCACTGCACATTAAGTGAGTACAAAACCCTAAGGAGTAAAATATAATACTGAGTCCCGTCGAAAATATTTGATAGTCATTTGTGTCGAATAGTTTCAAATGTAACATTTTCTAGTGTTACACTGAAACTGATGAGTTTAAACTGGAGAGCCCTCATAGTTCGAGTAAAAATAGTTTGAATTTCGAAGATCAGTATCGACAAATATACGAGAACGATTTATTACGTTTAACTACTTACTGATGAATTTGGACAAACTATACGTTCTATTCAAATAAATCAAGATAGCTATGTAACTGTATAATTTCATTCCGGAAACCACACGATCTTCGATGAAGTAAACAGTTCAACTTTAATTTCAAAAGACACTTACTTATATAGGAATTTTATGCAAACTTGATTATTTACTAGACACTACATACTAAGAAAATACACAGAATCACTATAAAAACTTATGTTGCATAATATACTAAACAAAGTCCAAATTAAATTAATGCACGTCCATATTATCTAAACTAAGCGTTACATTGATAAAATACCATTGAAAAAGTAGTAGCAGTCGTCCTACTCAATCATAACGAATGTTATATTATTTTTTGATTGGGATCACGAACCGATTGATGTTAGACCACCGTTAGAAACCTAGAAGCACTGAACGGCCGTTTCGTTTTATTGTGGAAGTCCTCAGCAGTGCGCATCCACGATCCCGCTTGCGGGATTCGAACCCAGGGCCATCAGTCTCGCGCGCGAACGCTTAACCTACTGGATCACTGAGCCGGCATCCAATGGTGTTAGTGACTAACATCAACTAATCCACGAATGTTATATGAAACAAAAATCACAGATTTGAAAACTTAATCTCAATTATAATTCTGTTCTAACACATTTTCAATGAATTTTCACTTATAATGAAGAATAATGCCATCAAATATGATTTATATATATGGATAAAATTAAACATTTATACCTTCGGTAAATGAATATGTACATTTTTCTTTAACCATTTGACTAGATTGACTTTTTTCTGTTAACAAAAAAGAATTATAAAATGGTAATATGATCAGTGTCAGAATTATCAATCGAAATTACAGTTTGTCATAAATGTATCCATCAGTAAATCAATTAACTAACCTTGTGTTCTTTGTCTTTCTCGCCTGATGAATTCTATAATGATAGAAGGGAATAAATAGCGATATTACAGTAGTAGTAATAGTAATAAGTACTTGACTATATAAATATATAAAGCTAAACCATATAAATTGATTATACTTTACCGAAGTATAAAATACTTACTGTCTGAATTTGTTGTACGTAGCGTTTTATGTAGTACTATCAAGATTAATTTCAAAGAAATACAGCATTGAATAGGGTAGTTTATTTATTTATATTTTTAATATCTTGATCAGTTTTTCTAATTTTGTTTGCCAATGAAGCTTGTGTTAAAATTTTGTAAACGTCATTCGTATTATGAACAAAATGAGTTCTACATAGTCATGAAAAGTTAGAAATTGAATTTTTTTCTGCATTTTGGAATAATTCAAACATACTATGCTATTTGTTATAATTGAATTGATGAAAGCTACTATATGATAATATTATGAATATTATGAAAACCTAATGGAAACTATGCTCAAAATAGTTAATTCGTTTGATTACTTAGAATATATAACTACAGTATTCTTTTTCTTACCAGATAAATGACAATTATTTTTATATATGTGAACTGTCAGCTAAAGGATAGAATATTAAATGTTGATTTTATAGCAATATGGTTGGAGGTTGACCTGTTGAGTTATAGCTTCACTTTTCTTAGGAATTAATTGGGTGTATAACAGAAAGATAATTTCTACTGCTTAGGATCAACTTTGCAAGTGTTATGATTCACTGACAAGCTCTGGTCGATGACAAAAAATTATCTTTGACACTGCCTAAAATCAAGTTTAAATGGCATTAATTTCTAACGAAATAATTCAAACAAATAATAGCTTGACCACTTATTCTGAATGCATAGAACAATTGGATGCAGCCTTATTGATAACAATCATAATAATAATATCTAGTCCTCTATTATAGATTAATAGAGAAGAGAAATGTATTATTTGATGGATTGTTATTATTTACTGTCACAAACACTAAGCACTACTTTCGATATCTGATTTAATGAATTACTATAAATATAAATATTCGATCAACATGGTGAGATAAACTGATTAATACTTTACAATAACAATCGTTTCACAATATAGTATAATCATTTCACTAGTCAATTATTGTTATCTTTATCAACGTGTTATATTCATGAGTTATGTATTTAGTGTAGACTTCTAACCAGTAGTAAATTACTAGCATGAATTGTTATGAATTATAGACTGTTTTAAAGAAAAGATTGTGCAAATACACATATTAGCCTAAACTTCAAGCCGATAAATTCAACTTCAGATTATCATTAAGTTATAAATGCTGAATCATGGTTATCAAAACGCATGTTCTTGTAGAACTATGAACTATTATCAGCTAAAAACTATAGATGGATGATAGTACGGTTTCTAATTGTGGTTTAATGCATAATTTACAATATACAATATTTGAAATTATTTTCCTGAACGTAAAATTAAACTAATTGATTGATTAATCAAATTACCAAGACAATAAATAAAGTAATCAAGGCTAAAATGATTACCTCAATTGTTTCAGGTTGTTCTAAATTTTTATCGATATTTTCAAAAGTTGATGGTTTTTCTGAATCATCTTCTTTATCTGAAATTTCTTTTAATTTTGTATTTTTTTCTCCTTCTTCTCCTTCTGCTTGTGCTTCTTCATCTTCTTTATTTTCTTGAATTTTCAACATTTCCATTGATGAACTAACATCTATTTTATACTGATCATTTTCTTTAATTACATCAACTTCGTTCTATTTTTTTTTAAATATGTAAAACAATGAAATAGTTAATGTTTACTTGATTCCCTTCTTGTTTATCTAGTTCACTATTATTTACTATTATTTCTTCTGATTGTATAGAATCATCTTTTATTGAATATTGTTGATTCTAGAAAATAAAATTAATATTATCAATTATTTGAACAGAAAATCATTTACATGGTTTTTTTCTATTTCATTAGAACAATTCACTATTTCATCAGCGTTACAAACAGAGGTTTGTTCATCTGACATTTTTTATTTTTATTTTATTTTACTGAATGTATATTCAAAATCGTAGATTTGTTGTTGTTGTTGTTGTTGTCTGAAACAATATACTATTTATTGTGTTAACTAAATGAGGTCAATGTTTATATAAGAAACATTGGACAGTTTAATATGAATTTAATTGGTTGATAATAATAATAATAATAATAGTAATAGTAATACTGTTATTATCATTACTACCATTAATTATTTTACAACATGTAATAGTTTCATTTTAAAAATAAAGCTTAATCAAAATGAATGTATTTCATTGATAAATCACGTTTATAATTAGATATACATTGATGTATGTTTATGAATCAATTGAATATTTAACATACATTTATAAAACATAAAGTCATCATTTCATTATTATTATCATCAAAAATAATAACCAATATGATCTATTATAATATTAAATAATTATCAATTAATACAATGGTAGTAATAATGTTTCATTTACCTTAATTATTGAATACAAATTACAATATGGTTACTGAATTCAATGAAATTTGAAAATAATAATTAAGTATATACTTATAGATTGTTTTCATTTAGTGATATAAAAAATTTATTTTATTTTTGCTTAGTAACCGAGTTAATATTTATTCTTCGGTAAAACTATAATTTATGAACGAATCAATCAGATTTAAGATAACAGGTCTTGGATTTTGGCGTAAAATTCACTCACTCATTTGTCCAAATAGTGTCTTGACATTTTAGCTGATGTCAGTTTGTAATGAAAATCATAAATCTATATCTTAACCCTTACTATCAATTGTAAATCATTGTCTTTACTCTTCAAACTGCTTTATAACCTTCATTTATCTCTATTAAGTACGTAGACACCCAAGGTCACTTTGGCGTCACTCCAAGGTCGTCCATAAATTATAGTCTCATCCATTCTTCTTTTTAGTGTTTAGTTACTTTATTTATATTAGGGTTAGTGATATTATCAAACTGTCCAACTCGAAGTAAATGGATCGAGCTTCACATCTTTGACCGTATTGTTGAACATGAAGTGTATTTAATTACTGAATCATGATCACACTAATGATTGAATATTATCACAATGGAAAGAAGTATTCTTCTATACAACAAACCAATCAGAGTAAGGTGGGTAAAGGTTAGGGTTAAATAAACTGAAACATATTATCAGTATTAGAAATCATTGGTTTAAGCCGTATTACAACAGCCAGATTCCCTAAATGATGTTTGTAAGATAAATGTTCTTTATGTGTACTGACACTTAGTAAGATGTTTTAAAATCTATCCGAATAATCCAGGTTCATTCTCTCTTTTTAAAAAAATATTCTAAGTCATGAGTTCCAACATTCCTTCATACATTTTTTACATTTTTTACCAATTGTATCTCAAATATATCTTATTTATCAATCAGGGATATTAATTCCATGCTGTTGATCACCTTCGATCCTGTCTCTGTGAAATACAACAACTTGAATAGATAATAAATTAATATATTTGTAATATCCTAATGAGTAGAAAAATTAGGTTTTCTGACGTTTCGTAACTCGGAGTTACTTATTTATTCTCTGAAGAAGTGGCTTACATTGAGTCACGAAACGTCAGAAAATCCAACTTTTCTACTCATTAGGATATTACAAATATATTGATTTATTTATTATAATCTACTTTATGCTCAATTTATTCAAAATTATCAAGTCAAACCTTGGCAATGATACCTACAAATTGAACAGATGTTTATTTGCTACCGGAATCATGGTTAGTTATGATTAACCAAATGAATCATTCAGTATTATCTTATAATTAAGTCATTGAAATGTATACTATCATAAGTAAAATGTATTCAAAGTAAATTTCAATCTTTTCAAAAACAATAGAGTGGATCATAGTGATTATGTTCAATATGAATCAATTTCACCATTTGCAAGTAATCTGAAAAATCTTTTCAATGATAGAAGTATGAGTTTATCTTTGAGCAATACACTAGTTCCACTTTATAATGAGTTGATACTATTATATGACTCATTTATTCTAGTAAACAATTCCTTTTAAGTAGTAATTCTCAGAAATCAAATGTTCATTTACTAAGAGAATAATCAATGATAGTCACATGTTATTCAGTGAATTTATAAAATTTAATTATTTACATCAAGAAACAGAAGAAAATCACTTGATATTCAGTGTATTTTAAGTTTTAAGTTGCATGAATTAGTTGAAACCTGGTATGAAGTTATGTCTAGGGCAGTCAAGAGTAAAGAATGAGACAGAAACGCACAGACTGTATTCTGGGAAGATTACTTTATTTCGTAATTTGACTAAAGCTAAAAATGTAAACTGTTGGATACTTATTCTCTAAACGTTATCTTTCGCATTGTTTACATAATCGTGGCATATCACATCACTTAAATTACTGTGAACTGTCTTTACAAACAAACATTCTTAATACTATGAAATTATCCAAATCAGTCATAAAGATTTGAATTATTCAGTAATGTTTAATTGTTGGGGTTGGCATTTTATATTTTTTTTTATGAATTTTCGTTTCACTTCATTATGAATTCTAAATCTAAGGCTGTGTATCGTTTACCTCCAAGTACTAAATATCAAACAAGATTCGCTTCAATATCAAGTCACCTCATCTAGTCGTTAAAAAATGCAACTTGAATGATAGATTTTCCATTAACACTAACGTGATAATAGTTAGTTAGTTTATAAAAAATTATCTCATAGAAAATATAAATAAGATAACTACTATCAGTAATCATTGACATTCAAATCAATAAGTTAGTCACATAAAAACATTTGATAACTACTTTTTTTAAATCAATCATATAAAACTAAGTATTCACTGTTTATGTACACTAAGTTATGATTCACTCGGATACATTTACATACAAATAATCACAAAGAAATAGTTGTCAACTTGTAATGTAACATTTATATTAAACTATTTCAACAACAAAAAAAAGATTGCACATTAAACTGTATTAGAATTCAACGCATTATTGCATAGTATATTAACATTCGATAAAAATAAATTGTTATTCATTTATTTGGTCATTAATGAGTTAGTCATTTAACAAGACTCTTTGATCATGTTATAACGATAAGTTACTATATGTGTAATGATAATAAAAAGTTTTATATTGTGCCAATTTTGCTGTAACCGTTTTATTTTTATTTTTCTATTTTATTTTATTTTTTTTTTGAAAACAAAACTATTCAATGTTTACAAATAAATAAATGTCCAATTTAATCAAACAACTATGTAGAACTTGAGTATTTATATAATAAAAACATTTATGAAAATACACTTCATTCGACCACCTTAATCAAACATGAACAAAATATATAAATACATTTTGATAATGTTATACATACAAACATAATTTGTAATAGTTAGTAATTATGAACTTATCATGAACAATAATTTATCATTCTATTTAGTTGGCACGTAATTGTAGACACTGTTTCATCGACGTGAAACTTATCTATCGATTATGACATGTGTCTATTATGATTAGTGTATGATTTCATTTCGCCTCTCTTTCTCTCTCTCTCATTTCATTTATATAGATGTGTATCTTCAGGAATATGTAGTTAGAAAATATTTTATAAAATGACTAACTGACATTCCGGTGAGGTCAAAATGTAACCAGCTCATTGAAAGATATGAAAGCTATGAAGTTGATCTCATGTAGGTTAGTGATTGTATACTATTGAGTTTTTCACTAGTCTGAGGTATCTGTCTGGTGTTCAATTTATAATAAAAGCTATTTAGGAGAGTTTAAAACACTTTTTTAAAGTGATGGAATTTTGCGTCTCAGTTTGAAGATTGACGGTACATATACCATGAGGAGAAAGAGATGAATAATGCTATGTTTAACAAAAATCATGAGTCTAGTTGACCATTTTTAAATTATGTTCAAAGATGATATGTGGATTTATTTTATCTACTGGCTGAAACAAATTCCATGAAATCAAATTAGCTAATATTAAAAACTTGAAAGTATCTGAAGACTAGTTTGCTGTAATACTAGAATTTTAAGTGGTATACAATCATCAACCCATTACTTGAGAAACTGAATCCCACATCCACAAGTCTTGTACCAAGTATATTACTGTTAATTAACTGAATGACGAAACAAATGTTGAACATTTTCAGTGAGACCATCGGTTTATGATTACATGAATGAAATTTTTATTTATTTGTTACAAAGAATTTTAGCTTTGTCATGTGTGTCTGTTCAGTAGCTTAAAATTATCAATTGATCTTGACGAACTGTCATGATTCATTAAACATTCAGTGATCATTGCTCCAAGAAAGGGATACACTTAGCTTGATAGATAATTTGACTGGGGTCATTTTTATTTTGCCGATTATAGAGATATAATAGCTGTTTCCCTGAATGATAATCCAGTCAGTCAGCTACAACGTGAGACCATGCACATATATGCATCGGTCCAAGTTGCCATACATCATTTGCACAACAAGATGAACACCAAATATATAGAAGTAGTCAATTCAGTGGTGATAATTTATAGAAAAACGATAACATATAAGGATATAGCACAGGAAGAAAGAATTATTTGGTAGAAAAAAAATTTTAATCTCATAGTTTAAGAGAAGACAAAGAGTATTTACACCTACACCATTTTGATCGATTCTGAGCCATGTCGCAGTCTCCAATCACTGGTTACGATACTGGCGCAGACCCCAACCAAGTAGTCTAAATCTACCAACATGGCTTAGACCAGAAGTCAATGACTTCAAGCACTAATGCCATGTTTTCGTTTGGCCGCCCCTAACTTTCTTCCAACCATCCCCAACACCGGTTAGCATTGCACGTCGTGGTAATCGGTGTTCAGGCATACGCAACACGTGGCCCAACCAACTCAGTCGACGAAGATTCATAACCTCATCAACTGATCTACCATCGTTCCCTAATACCCTGCGTCGAACATCACTATTACTTACCCGGTGATCCCAGTAGATGCGAGCAATATTTCTAAGATATCAGTCATCAAATACTAGTAACTTACGAGTAACCTCTACTCTTAATGGCCACGTTTCACAGACGTAAAGCAGAACAGAGCAAACTGTTGCACAGTGTACTCGTCTCTTAATTGATAGGCAGATACCTCGCTTTCACCATAATTGAAGTAAGTTGGCAAAAGCCAAACGAGCTTTCTAAATTCGTATGGAGATTTAGTCAGACACCAACCCATCAGGGCTGACCAGACTTCTAAGACAAGTAAAGCTGACGACGCGTTCGACTACTTCACTCCCTATCCTTAGTTCAGGTAT